CAAATTTAAAATGTATTATATTGAAATTAGTTATAGGATCCTTACAGAAATCTTTTTACTCTCTTCCTGTACATTCTTCAAAGTACACCTATGCCTCAAACTTGGAACCAGTCAATTAGTGGTCCATGGCCTTTATTTAATATTTGGGGACAATTTATCACAGAAAGTACACCTTCAGGTTGTTGATATTTTGCTGCTTGTATTTACTGAACTTGCATTTTTGTTATTATCTTTGTGTTATAGCATACATTCTTTTCACAACCATGCATCAATAGCTTCAGAGATTTGAAGGGGTATAAAATTTGAGACAGAAATGTTAATGAATTAGCTAAGAATTGCTAACACAAATGTAAACTGAGAAGAGTAATCAATTAAAAAGGAAAAATTACAAGAAGTATGTGTTATTGAAAAGCTGAGTTTAAATAATATGTTGCATTAGAATGTTATCTGAGATGAAATTCTGTGAAGAGTAGCTGCAAGAACTATGATGTTTTCTTTAATGACATTTCTACAGAATGTTTCAGGACATATTTAATAAACTAAGGGTATGGATAAAAAAATTACTGCCACAGACTTTGTGTCCAGAAACCTAGACTAAATGCGAAAGAGTTGTATAAACCTAGAAAATAAAATTCTAAAAGATTTAATTTGCTCACCAATAAAGTACTTAAATCACAGCAATAGTGAAGATTAAAATAAATAATACTTAGAACAAATACTAAAGTTTCAAAAAGCATCTAACAAAAAAAATAATGTTTTTGCTTTACTGTTATTGCCACTGTATTATTGTGACATATTGGAAAAATTACCCATAACAATGTGCATAAATTAAAAAAAGAGATAAGATTAGAGTAGTAATCAATGAAGAAGGAAATAGAGAAATGATAAGTATCAATAATAAGTTTTTCTATTTGACCTGCTAGACAACCACTTAGAGGACTTAAAGGGTCACAGATTGGAGAAAATAGTGAAAGGAAGTGGGTAGAATAGAAGCCTAATCTGACATAACAAATTTTGTAGATCTACTGAACTCTTCAGCAATAAGCATATGCAATTAATATTTTTTTCAATCCTCCCCCAACACAAAAATTTTATAAAAGGCAATGGCACAGAAACAAATATTCTTGAAGTAGGTATAGTGGTTCAAGCCTGTAATCTCAGAAGTTGGAAGGCTGAATGAAGCAGGAGGACTGTGGGTTCTTTGTCAGACTGAGCTACATAGAAAAACACTATTCTGTCTCAAAAAACAAACAAATGAAAATATTTTTGTGGAATGCTAGACTTTAATTTCTGGGCACCACCTATTTGTTAATGAATTTTTAAGATTTTTTTTTTAAATCTCCAGCATCTTCCTCATTGCAGTGCTTCAATACATCCTTGGTCAATGAGTAAAAGAATACCAGGGGTGAAATTTGTACTTTGCCCTGTTAAAAAACAAGTCAAACAGGTTAATTATGGGAGCTTGAGAAAAAACCGTGAGGTCCATATTTCTGAGGCTGTTCAGGTGACTCAAGGTAAACAAAAATTCCCAAAACTATCAAGGTAACTATATCCTTGATGAAAGTGCACAGAAGTGTCTAAACAGAAAAGATTAAACTGCTTAGAATTTGGATAAGCTTAGAGATCTGACAGTATTTTTCATTTCCTTCCTTCATGTACAAGTATCAGTGAGAACCAGATGCATGAACTACAAATTTCATTTTGAAATATTAGCAACTGAAATTTTGAAGCTCAAAAGAATCCAATTTGGTTCCAATAGTCAAAGGTAACATATGCAACTGCATGGATTTAGCTTTGTGACAGAAGTTAGTCTTTGTTTCATTGTAGTGCTTTTTTGTGGTTTTAAGAAAAAATGAAAAAGCAATTAGACTAGAATACCTCCCTCACCCTACAGCAAGCCAGTAGCCTAAAAGCCAATCCCTTCGATGCTGACACAAAGAAAAAAGAATGAGAACAGGAACTACAAATTTTTTTAAAAGGAGAAGCTCAGAAAAACCTAGCAACAAAACATTATCTCTCCCCTTGTCATACCCATGAAAGAACAGAAAAGAAGAAAAACTGTTGCCAAATCTTTCAACATTCATTTAAAAGAAAAACAATTACAAAAGTTGCAGTTAAGAAGCAATATCAAATTATTACAAATGATTGCAATAATGCTAAAATATGTATGAAAATTCTAAGGACATATCTGAAGCAAACCTATAAAAAAAAAAAACTGAAGGATTCACTCTACCTGACTTCAATATTTAACATAAAGCTATATGGCTGGCACCAGCACACAGAGTATTCTTGTCACATTTGGAATTTCTCCACTATTTTTTGTAATTTTTTGTCAGTTAAAAATTATTTCAAACTAGTTTTAGAAAGTGAAATGTGACACTCTCTAAACAACAAAAAACCCAGCAAGCAGATTCTACCAATTACATATTGTAAAAAATATATAGATCATTTCCTTGGCCAAAGACAAAATACCAATTTTAAAAACTGCAAGCTAATAACAGAACAGATACATTACAAATTAGCTAACAATGCTCAGAAGAATATTCATACAAATTATTTGTTAAGAAAATAATGAAAATGAATGTTTAGCATTTGGGCCACGATGCATGAAAATTAAAAAGAAAAAACATGTTAAGTGGGTGTTAAAGAATTAGGAAAACAGACCCCAAAATGGGCTTGGGAAATACATATAAAAATAGATACACTAACCAAGAAGGGGGAAAAGGAACAAACACATATATGCATAATAATCACAAATAGAAGGAAATCTATTTTGCTCAGTTTTATATAAAGAAATTTCTTAAAACTTGGATGAAATTTTCTAGGAAAGTATTTTATCAAAATTGGAAAAAAAATCTAAGTAGATTTATACCCTAACACAAAAACTTATCATTTAACAACAATAATTGTTATAGTGCATAAGCAAACCCAATGGCTAAGAAACAGTGGAAAGGAACTTTCACTGTATACAACACACCACACACACACAACACACACACGCACACACACACACACACACACACTTTGTAAAAATCATGTGAGTTTCTCTTTCAAAAAATTAAAAACATAGTAAATAATGGTTCCTAGTATCAGTAAAATATACAACAAAAATAAAAACATGTCACAGATATTTAATTCTCTACTCAACTTCTATATTCATTTACAAATTTATCTCCTTTACAATGTTTTGCCCACAGTCTGGTTATTAGCTTTGTCAAACCAATTAGGTCAAAGGATTGAAAGCAGGCATAAAAGCCTTTGGGCATGGTAATGCACATATATACTCAGGAGGCAAAGGTAGGTGGTTTAAGACTAGCTCAGGCAGTTAGCTGGTGAAAAACAAACTAAAAGCAAAGGACTGAGGAGCATGCTAAAGGGATAGAGCCTTGTCTAATGAGCCCATTAAGGCCTTGAATTCAATCCCCAGTCTACAGGGAAGAGAGGAGGAAGAGGCATAGAGGCCTCAGGCACCCTTACTGTAAAGCACCAAGTAAAAAGACTGAAAAAATAAAACTGTTTTCACACTGCATACTAAAAGCCTCTGAAGCTAGAAATTCTCTAAACTCAGATTTTCAGAGACTAACTATAAGTGCTTTTCCAACATGGTCAACTGGTTATATCATTCAACTTGAGTTCTACCTTAAAAATAAATGAGGACTTCGGAATGCTTCTAGGCAAACTGCAGAAACAACGTGAACAAACAGGGTGATATGAAAGACATGCTAGTTAAGGTTCTCTTTACGAATTCTCAGCCATCATTATGATTGTTACCAACATAACCTGCTTGTTATGGTTCAAATCATATTCAGCCTGATCTGTGTCTTTCTAAACCACTGGGAATAGCACCTACACATCTACCCCAGCCATCCCTATTGAGTGGCTTTTTTGTTTAGTGGTAGTTACAAAAATATTTGGATTTTCTTTTAACTAGATACAACCTGTATCAGTCACAATCTTAGGGACAACAGGCAGAAACAGCCTCTGGCAGAAGAGTCAGAAAAAATGACTTTCTAAAGGTGACAGAGAAGAGTTCATCAGATCTCTGGTTGGGCTAAAGAACCCAGCTAGGAAGGTACATAAATAAGGTTGCCCTGCAGCCAAGAATCATAGTATGCTCCAGAGCCACAACTTAAGAGACTTCACTCTGTACCTGCACTGAGGTCTTGGGACAGACACTACTCTGCCATCACTATCACCAGAATAACTGTCCACAATCCTCATTACCTTTAATTTTCTTATTTTCTTTTGTTAATGACATAAAGAGTATGCATTGGTCATATATTTAACCATGTTGCTAGATTCCTCATATTCTAATAATTTGCCTTTCTGTTCTCTGGGATTTTCTATGTGATCTGAAAATAATGAAGCTGCACTCAGAGTTCAGAGTGAGAATATACAAGCGGCTGAGTCCAGGTCACATGCCTGAACTGTAAAACAAGTAGGCACTTTTAATTTCCATAGAAAGAAGTACTTCATCCCACCAGGATTAATTGAATGGTTCCCCAAATATAAGAATGGGGCGGGGCAAAAAGGTTTGTTAAAATCCTGAGTACACTGAAAAAAATATTCTGTCGTAAGTGATCTTGGGTAATAAAAATATAAGTAACAATATAGCATACATAAAATCCTCATTCACATGATTTTTTTGGTTCTTTAAGAATTATAATCATGGTTGCAGCTTGACAGTGCAAAAAAGGGGTAGAGAGAATAAACATGATAAAACCCCAGAGTAAGCTAAACCTTTCCAAATTTAAGCCTCAGAGCTAAAAATGTGGATTTACTCTTTAAGATCTACATAGATGATAGTATCCTGCTAACAACAAAGATTACTATTCCTGGTTTGTAACTGCAGAAAAGTTAAACATTATAAGTTACACTGACATTAAACTATTAGATGACCTGTATTACCCAAATTTACTTACCACTCTTCAAATGCTTATAAAAGCATATTCAGACTATAGTTGTAACTCATATATAGTTGAAAAATAACAAATACTTACCTCTCCTATGAAAACTACTATAACACAGTCCAACTTCTCTTCAGGATAGAGATTATCAATAAGAGAATGAAGAGTTTCTATGAGGTAAGATTTAACTTCTCTCTTCACTGTTGGGATTCCCATTACTATTGAAACTGAAACAAAAAAATATATAAAATATTTTACAAGAATATAAAAAACACTACTCTGTACAAAGTATTATACCATCTCAAATTCATAAGAATAACTGAAGCAATCAATATCAATTTCAGAAAGAAAGAAAAAGGGCATGGCTGTGTTATTCTTTTCCTTTAGCTTAACCAGGGTGTTGAAGAAGAGGAAGGTTGAAAGGAGGGGAAAAGGAAGGAGAGTGGAAAGGGGCAAAGAGGAAAAGGGCAAGGAGGAAGGAAAAATATGTGGTAAGAGATTAAATCTCACATTAAAGAGTGACAATGAAGTATATTTGACAAATTTTTATTATACAACTTTATTACAACTTAAACCTATAAACATATGCTAAAAATTTCTTACATATCAACCTCAAGTAACTAAGGGAATCAATATCATGTCTACGGCTTCCTTGCCAAAAATGTATAATCCTCAATCTAACCATATAAAAACACCAGGTAAATTCTAATGAGAGTTAGTCCACAGAATAACCAGTCCCTACTCTTTTAAAGTGTCATGGTCCTGTAAGAAAAAGAACTGTCCCAGATTGGAAGGGACTAAGAAAACAATGAACTAGGAAATCCTATGTTGGACTCTGGAACAGAAGAAAACTTAAAAGGGAAAAAGCTGAAATAGAGACAAGGTTAATGACCAGTATAGCATCATAGTTAATTTTCTGGTTTGGATCACTGTAATAACGTGAATAGGGACTACTACTGGCATTTGTACAATACTTTCAAGGTAACTAAAGTTATAGTCAACTACATTGTATTGCTTGGTTTGAATGCAAACTTCCTAATAGTGAATGATATTGGTGTAATAAGTTTCATGTTTTCTTTGTACATTTAATCCTGAGACATTATCTAGGTGGATAATAGAACTTGCACCCAGCTAAAAAAGTTAAAAAAAAACTGAACTAACTATATAGACAAGGCACATACTCAAACATATACCAGCTCCCTGTGCTCCCAATGTGCAATGGAGCACATCCATCCCGAGGTGAGACAACATTCGGTCACATTTCAGACAAACCACTTTGTATGACTTTACAGTAACTTAGCTAACGCCCTTCTGCCTCCATTTTAACAAACAAAATCTCAGGTCTTTCTAAAGGACCATATTTATTGTACTTATGTATCACTTAATCCTTTAGCATGTGTAAAATTATTAGGCTCTAATTTTTAATGTTTAAAGTTTTTTGCCTGTTTGTTGTTGTTGTTCAAGTCATGGTACTTGAACTCAGGATCTGAGTGCTATCCCTCAGCTCATTCACTCAAGAATAGCACTCTAATACTATGCCACATCATTTCCAGTCTTCTGGTGTTTAATAGGAGCTAAGAGTCTCACAGACTTTCCTGCCCAGTCTGACTCTGAACTGTGATCCTCATATCTCAGTCTCCTAAGTAGCTAGGATTACAGAGGTGACCCTCCAGTTCCCAGCATCGGTTTTTTGTTTATTTACTTACTGTTTTTGTGGTATCAAGGCCCCCAGGGTGGGCCTCATGAATGCTAGAGTGGCAAGCACTCCACCACTAAGCCACATTCTCAGCCCTGATTATTAAGTTCTTATCTTTTTTATGTGTAATTGACAAATTTTTTGAGTGTTGTGATCCTAATTCCATTTTTTTCATTTTATTGAGCAATGTTTCATAGCAAAGGTTTTGGGGAACACATACTGTGTTAAAGAACTGTTTTTCAAAGTTTTATATTTTTAAAAAATTGTATCTCAAAAGTTTTAGTATTATAAGTATTATTTGTTTTGTAAATATTAAAAATAATTTAATTTTGCCAAGTGCTAGTTATTCATGCCTATCATCCTGACTACTCAGAATGCTGAGATCTAGAGGATCATGAAGCCAGCCTACCAAAAAAGCAAGGCTAGAATATGCATGGTAGAGTGTTACCTAACCAACAGTGAAACCCTGAGTTCAAAATAATAATAATAATAATAACAATAAATTTAATCTTAATATTGAAAAATTAGAGATGCTGCAAAATAATTAGAAGTCATACAATTCTAAAGTTAGAAGGCTGAAGGTAATAGACCATCTAACCTTCTAGGACTATTCTATAAATAAGATACTAAGGTAGCAAAAGTTCCATGTTGTATTCCTCCCTTTCATTTCAAGATGAAGAGCTATCAGAAATAGGCTCTGTATTGTACTTGGTCAGTAAATACCTATGGAAAGCAAGGCATTATTCTAGGTGTTAGGCATATAATGGTAAAAGACAAATGGCCTCTGTTCTCCTAAATCATCTATCTCTCCTACCTATCTAGTCCAAGTTCATCCTATCTCAAGTGGATCACTAAAGTAACATTATTTTTTGTTTCTTTGGTTGGCTGGGTTTTATTTGTTTTTGATACCAGAATTCTGGGTATTATATTATTATTTGGTTTTTCTTTCTCACAGCTAATGTTCTGTCACTTGAGTTGCATTTCCATTATAGCATTTTGCTGGTTAACTGAAATGGAATCTCAAAGACTTTACTGCCCAGCCTGGCTATGAACCACAATCCCCCAGCTCTCAGCCTCTTGAGTAGCTAGAATTATAAGTGTAAACCACCAGTGCCAAGCCTCCAGAGCCACCAGTGCCAAGCTGGTAGATTGTTTTTTTGTTATATGGTATCAATATGTTGCACAGGCTGATAAAAAACTTGTAATTCTCAGCATCCTGAGCGCTGGGATTACTGGCATGTATCACTAGGCTTCGCTTAAAACAGCTTCTTAAACTGGGCATTGATGGTTCATGCCTGTAATTCTAGCTACTGAGGAGGCTGAGAGCTGAGGATCTCGGTGCAAAGCCAGTCCAGGCAGGAAAGTCCATGAGACTCTTATCTCCAATTAACTACCAGAAAACGAAGTGGCGCTTTGGCTCAAGTGATAGGGCACTCACCTTGAGCTGAAGAGCTGAGGGACAGCACCCAGGCCCAGAGTTCAAGCCCCATGACAGACACCCCCCCCCAAATATATATATAGCTTCTCAATCTGGTCTCTCCCATCTGCTTCTCTTACATCCTCAAACATTCTTTCTATGGGAGAATATGTGATATCTAAATTTTAAGTTAAAAAGTCATCCTTAATAAGTCCTAGAGTCCCTTTAGTAGATTCCTACCACTGTTAGGATAAAAACCAAAATACTACAACTATCTAGAAGACCCTAACATTATTTAGCCTTAACTAACATCGGTAGCCTCCTCTGGTTCCATGTTTCCTCACTCAACATATTGTAACTAGAGTGACCTGCTGTCATTTTCTAGACTAGTACATGTTTCTGTCCATCATAGAGCTGTTGTAGTGCTCTTATGATTTTTTTTTACCTTTGTGGCAAAAATAAATAAATAATGACTTCCTAAAGAGGACTGTGCACCAATTCTTGGAACCTGTGAAGAATACATGACTTTTACATAGCAAAAGGAACCTTTCAGTTTTGACTAAGTTAAGCATCTTGAGATGGAAGATTATTCTGAACTACCAGTATGTGCAATGTAACCACAAGGGGCTTTATAAGAGGTAGGCAGAAGGGTCGGTGTGACAGAAGATGTAACAACAAAAGCAAGAGGTTTACAGGGAAAGATTTGAAAAAGCTAGCCTCTGAAGATAACCCCTTGCCTTTCCTAGCTTCTACAGGCTGCCTACATTCTTTTGTGGCCCTTTATTCATGTTCAAAGCATAGTATTTTCAAATCTCTCCCTGACTGTGATCCTTTTGTGAGGAAAGATTAACCCAATAGGTTCCAGAAGGAATATATGCTTTAGATACTTTAATTTTAGGACTTTTGCCCCCAAAACTATTAGACAATACACTTCTCTTGTTTTGAGACATTGAGCTTGTGCCATAGGAAACATACCTCTTCACCAGCAAACTAGATTTTTTTAATTGTGAAAATACTGTGCAGAGGGGTTACAATTGCATGGGCAAGATAAAGAGCACATTTCTTATCAAGCATTGTAGCCTCCTCCTTTGTTTCCCCTTCCCATTCCTTCCCATCACCCCTTCCCACCCAATCCTCCCCCCCACCACCAAAGTTGTAAAGTTCGTTTTTGACATAATGACTTGTACATTTCATTGTTGCAGTGGGTCCACCTGTATCCCTATTTAAACGATTTTTTCCCTTCTCCACCACAAATTATAACAACATCAAATACAGTGAAATCAAGGGTTATACCATGGGGGAGGGACATACAAAGCAACAAAGAAATAATCTTATAAATGTGAAAGAAAAAAAATTTGAATACATATCATACGGTTCACTTCCCTAACATCAACTTATCAGACCTTTTCTGCTTGACTCAGACATAAACTAGTTATTGCAAATAAGGGAAACCATGGGACCTATGTTTCTTTGGGCCTGGCTTACTTCATTTAATATAGTTTTTTCCAAGTCTTTCCATTTCCTAACAAATGGGGCAATGTCATTCTTTCTGATGGAGGCATAGAATTCCATTGTGTATATATACCACATTTTCTTGATCCATTCATCTACTGAGGGGCATCTGGGTTGGTTCCAGATCTTAGCTATGGTAAATAATGCTGCAATAAACATAGTCATGCTGGTAGCTTTAGTGTGGTCTTGTTTGTAAACCTTTGGGTAAATGCCCAAAAGTGGGATTCCTGGGTCATAGGGAAGCTCTATGTGGAGTCTTTTGAGGAACCTCCATACTACTTTCCAAAGTGGTTGAACAAGTTTACACTCCCACCAACAATGCAGTAAGGTTCCTTTCTGTCCACATCCCCTCCAGCATCTGTTGTTATTAGAGTTCTTGATTTTTGCCATTCTAACTGGGGTGAGGCAATATCTCAATGTTGTTTTGATTTGCATTTCTTTTATGGCTAGAGAGGTTGAGCATTTCTTCATGTGTCTATTGGCCATCTTCTTTCCTCTTCAGAGAAATTTCTCTTTAAGTCTTTAGCCCACTTATTTAGCAAACTACATTTTTTACTGGTCTGAAATCAAATACATATAATTCCACACCTCCTTAATTAGGTCAAAGCCCTTTTTATATATATCCTCAAAGCATCCTTTACATCACTAAATATTGTGATTACATAATTACTTGTGTAATTGCTTATTTTTCAGTTATAACATTCACAACAGTAGCATTCAACTTCACAAATTAAAGTGTCTGGCACAGGGGAGTAGCTAATGGACTTTGATTTCAGCAAATACTGTTGTCCACCACCAACCAGGAATTCCATTTTGGTTGTTCACCTACAAGAGTCTTTTGTCAGGCATCATGTTTGGCACTAAATGGATCAAGACCTGGGTATTTCTTCAACCCAAGAAATTGTTTTCTAGTATTTGATTTCCTTCCCTTTCTTTGTTTTCTCCTTTTGACGTACCATTTTTATTTCCTTCCATTCTTTAGGTACTTTATGATGTTTTCTGGAAGAACTCTATGACTTAACCTTTTTGACCACTAAAGTCATTTTCAGCTGGACCTATTCTTAATCAGGGTATGTATGTGGAAATTGTGAATATAATCACTGAAATGAAAAATAACTGGTCCTTTATAATATTCGTTGTTTTTTGGTTTTATCCTATCTAATGACTCATATCATTTGCTCCAGAAAGTCCATTTTAATTTTCTTCAGTGTTGTCATCCATGGTATTGATCGTTGATTCCAGGGAACTTCTACTTGTAGAAGATATACTTTTGTTTGGCTGGGTAGTTTTAGTTTCTGTGGTCCTAGAGATTGGACCACAGGTCTTACTCATGCTAGACAAGCATACTACTGCAGTGCTCCATTCCAGCTACAGAAGGCACCATTTACTAGCTGTAGTTGCCATGTCTAATCAGAGCAGCTACCTCTGAAAATTATGTAGGAGGATTCAAGGTGGTGCTGGGTAAGTGGGCAGAATTTTGTTCTGGACTTCAGAATTCCAGTCTTCTCTCAGGGTCAGTAACCACTGCAGTCTTAGGAAGGCTTTGCTCCTCTAAGTTCTATTCCCAAACTACTAAAAAACAGAATTTTTAGAAAGCAGTAGTTTTCCACTAATATAAAAAGCAGTCATTTATAATACAAAGTCCCTATACAACTTATGGGGTTGCATAAAATTCCGTAAGTTATGTGCAAAAATGTTTTTATGTGCATTTTTTAAACATAGGTTAATTGCCTTCCTAGGACAGTAAAGAGTTCTGCAGCTCAAAACTATTAAAAATTGAGAAATTAGGAAGGAAAAAATGTAATGCAAATGTGCATTTTCCAGCCCTCCACTTCCCCTACTGCTGGGTTTTCTCTACCTTTCAAAAAGTGTCAATTTTATAAAAATATTAACTACTAAAAAGTTGGCTGATGGAGATTTTGTTACATTACTATTGTTGCTAAGGTCATGTAAGTAAATGGAATAAAGTATCTTCAAAAGAAATGTCAAATTCACAAAATTATTAAAAGCAGGCTATTCTTAAAGAGCCTGATAAAGGCAATTAAAGTTTGTTAGGGTTTTTTGTTGTCTTATTTGGAGTTTTTCAGTTGGGTTCTTTGTTTTTGTATTCTGAAGGTTTTCTGATAGTTCATTCCTTTGTTTTTGCAGAGTTGCAAAAGTGATACAATGTTCCCATATACTTCTCATTTCATTTTCTGGCTTTTGGCTATTTCAAGATAGTCTTGGTATGTAACCCAGGCTAGCTTAGACCTCATAATCCACCTGCCTTAGCTGCTAAATGCTGGGGGTTGCAGATTTATGACACTATGTATGCCAACTGAAAGTTATTAAATGATGTGAAAACTTCTCCTTTCTCCCCTCCTTACTCTCTTGTACTATGGTTTTCACTTGGGACCTCAAGTTTGCTTGGCTTACTTGCTTACAGTTGGTACTCTACTACTTGAGCTATACCTCCAGCCTGGCTTTTCACTGATTAGCTGAAATAGTCTCAGAGTCTTTTCTGTTCAGGCTGGTTCTGAACTGCAATCCTTCAGATTAGCCAAGATTACAAGCATGAGCCACTTGTGCCTTACAAAAATTTCTATTTTCGGGGCTGGGAATGTGGCTCAGTGGTACAGCACTTGCCTTGCATGCATGAGGCCCTGGGTTCAATTCCTCAGTTCCGCATAAGCAAAAGAAAAAAAAAGCCGGAAGTGGCACTGTGGCTCAAGTGGTAGAGTGCTAGCCTTGAGCTGAAGAGCTGAAGGATAGTGCCCAGGCTCAGAGTTCAGGCCCACGACCGGACCCAAAAAATAAATAAATAAATAAAATAATTAACAATCTAAGAAAAATAATTTAGAGTTACCTTACATATTAATCTTTGTATATCTGGCACATGCAGAATGGCAGGCTTAAGTATTTCTTGAATCAATAAAAAAAATGGGAGAATAAATATGAAAATGATTTTTTAAGCTACTGCCTACTTAGAAGGACAGCATGTCTTAAATGACTAATAGAAAGATGACAGAACTAAAATAAGATATATGTAAAAGCATATACTAATAGGTTAAATAGTATGAAAAAATGTGACCTTCCCCCCCCCAAAAGACAGGAAAATACTTAAGATTCTTATCAAATCAAAAGCCAACTAGTCCAGAAGTATAGTTCCATAGTAAGGTGCTTGCATAGAACATATGATGCCCTGAGTTTAATTCTTGGGACTGCAAGAAAAGGAAGAAAAAGTGTAATAAATCAGCTTTTCAAAAACATTAGCACAAAAATGAATGCCAAGCTGGGCAAGGTAGCCTACCCCTGTAATCCCAGCTACCTGGGAAGATGAGATAGAAATAACTTGTGTTCAGGCCAGTCTTGGTAACAGTGACATCTCATCTTAAAATACAGATAGCAAGTTAGAAAGATAGGAAAGGAAGGAAGAAAGGGAGAGAGCAACAGGAGAGAGAAAAAAATGGAGGAAGGGAAGGTGGGAGGGAAAGGAGGCAGGGATGAAGGTATGGAGGGAGGGGAGGAGGAGAGGAAGAGGGAGGAAAGAAGAGAAAGATAGATAAACAAAATAAAAATTACAATTCAATGGCTGTGAAGTAATGAGTTATATAAGAGAATGAAATATCAATTAAGTCTTGAGCATTTTAAAACCTACAAAGAAAAACTTAATGAAGTTCAAATGTAGGATTAAAATGTAGCAAGATTTAGTCAACAAATCCTATAAGGAAAATCCAAGAAGCCCTGGTGAGACAAAGAGAGAAAATTGCCATAAATTACGATTTTAGTATATAGGGAAGAAAATTCAAGTATTACTCCATGACAAGTTAAATGAAAGTGACTACCTACCTACATCTTTAAGAAAAGTAGGGCAAACATAAGACAAACCTTGATATGATTGTATAAAATACTAATGTTGAAATAAGATACAAGGTGGAAAATCACCCACCACCCCAATTTTCAAATTGAAAAAGTACAGAGGTTTAAATATTTGTCTGTCTAAACTAAGGTTCCTTGATCTTATTCTGGTCTGTGAAAAGAAATGCACAACTCCTTTCCTCATGGAGTTTGGAATGAATCCCAAGTTACTGAGCACAGATAAAGACTTTTTTTCTCTTATCTGCCAGTGGTCAACACTAATAAGCCAAGTTACAATTCAGACAAAAGGTACAACCATATTAGGAATCACTAAATAAACATACCTCCTGTTCTTCCATTTCCAATCTGTACAGCAGGATGAAGACTTTTTTCATTTTGCAATAAATGAGGCAAATGATAATAAATACTTGGCACTTGAAGGGATTTTTTGCTTGTTAACTCTTTTAGTAGCTTTAAGGTATTATCTGAAATACAGAAACAATTAAGCCACAAGCCACAGGAACATCTTAAATTACAGAATTTGCTGACTTCATTTTTAAGATAGCAGTATTCAAACATTCTTTTTACCTCTAACTTCTTTTTATAAAACTTATCTTTTAAATATTCAACAAATATTTATTGGTTATCTATCTTGTTCTAGGAATTGTGCCATGCATATGAAAATCAACAGTCATCAAAACACATACAGATCCTGCTTTAAAGAAACTTATAAATTCATGAAAATAACCCACAGGCTACCAGGAATGTGATATAACCTAACAGAGTTGAAAGACAGAGGAAAGGTCACCAACAAATTATTTTAAAAATGCTTAATATTTTCAAGTATATTATGCAATGGTCATTTATAGATATTCAAATAGTATTTTGAAGAATATTTAATGACATAGGAAAATTTCTCATGGTGCAATTTCAAGAAAAGAAAAAATGCATGGAAAAATAGACTAGAAAGAAACAAAAATTGTTAACAGAAAACATCTGACTGGTTCACAGGTGATTTATTATCTATACTATTCCATAATCCTACCCAATACTGTGACAAAATACAAAGATCATACAACTTTAGAGACAACTGATTAGAAATTTGTCTCATCCTAACAGCTACATAAGATGGGCACAGAAACAGTAAAAATAATTGGTGTTCATTTTACTCTGACTTGAAGATCTCAGACAAGGAACAGGTTAGACATTCCCAAAAAGTGTACACTATGGAGCTGGGAAGGTGGCTCAGTGGTAGAGCGCTTGCTTTGCATGCATGAGGCCCTGGGTTCGATTCCTCAATACCACATAAACAGAAAAAAAAAAGCTGGAAGTGGTGCAGGGGCTCAAGTGGTAGAGCGCTAGCTCAGGGACAGCACCCAAGCCCAGAGTTCAAGACCTACAACCGACCAAAAAAAGAAAAAAAAAAGTGTACACTATGAAACCAAGTATCTTCCTTAAAATTTAGATTGAGTACTAACTAAGCCAGGCGCCGGTGGCTCACACCTGTAATCCTTGCTACTCAGGAGGCTGAGATCTGAGGATCGTGGTTCAAAGCCAGCTGGGGCAGGAAAGTCCGTGAGACTCTTATCTCCAATAAACCACTAGAAAACCGGAAGTAGTGCTGTGGCTCAAGCAGTAGAGTGCTTGCCTTGAGCTGAAGAGCTGAGGGACAGCGCCCAGGCCCAGAGTTCAAGCCCCACAACTGACCCAAAAGGAAAAAAAAAAAAAAAAGAGTACTAACTGCTTTAAATACTCCAATTCTCAAAAGGACTTCTGAAATGTATATACATTATATAGAGAGAGTGTATATACATATATACATACATATATATGTACATGTCACAGCAATATGCATAAACAAAAAGTTAAATTTTAGTCTCATTTTGAATGCCTTAAAAGATATGTTCTTCACCATTGTCAATAAACTTATACAACTGAAAGCTTATCTTGTTAGTATTCTCTTAACATCAAATTTAGCAATTGAGTCCCTTTACAACTCACTAGCACAGAAAGTTTTGTGTGCTTCTCTCCCTACATCCTGCTCTGAAGAGTCACCAATGAGAGCTGACAAATTATACAAGTTTTAATAACATACTCCAAATAACCCCTTAACATAAGCATTGCATAATGCAAAACATATCATTTGTACCTGAAAACTTATTCAATTCATCCTTACTTCCATTTGTTTCTGCTCCTACACGTCGGAATTGTTGTACAATGGTGCTTAACTCAGAGGAACGTTGGGAGATTCTGTGTTCAGCTATTCGGAGACGCTCTTTTAAAGCAAGAAATTCTCGTTGATAAGCAATTAGTTTTTCTATAAAAAGCAAAACCAAAAAAATAAGTTTTAGTGTATCTTCTTTCTTCTTGAGGGGGAGAAGAGGGTCAAGACAGTTTCTTACTATGCTGCTCAGGCTGACTTTAATCCCGCAATCCTCCTATCTCAGCCTCCTGAGTGTTGAGATTACAAAGACATGCCATCATGCCCTGCTCTTACACTGAACCACCAAAGGAGATTTGTGTATTTCTTTAAAAAGAAGAAGAAAAAAGAAAAAGAAAAAAGCCAGGTGCCAGTGGCTCACGCCTATAATCCTAACTACTCAGGAGGCTGAGACCTGGGGATCACAGTTTGAAGCCAGCCTCGGCAGAAAAATCCATGAGACTCTTATCTCCAATTAATCACAGAAAAAATAGCTGGAAGTGGTGCTGTTGCTCACAGTGCTAGCCTTGAGTGAAAAGGAGCTCAGGGACAGTGCCCAGTCCTAGAGTGCAAGCCCTAGGACCAGCAAAAAAGAAGAAGAAGAAGAAGAGGAAGAGGAGGAGGAAGAGGAGGGGGAGGAGGAGGAGGAGGAGGAGGAAAGAGAGAGAAGGAAGGAAAAAAGGAAGGAAGGAAGAAAGAAAGAAAGAATGAATGAATCTGGGCATAGTGATGCACATCTAAAATCCTAGCTACCTGGAAGGTGTTGTTAGGAGGATCTCAGTTACAGGCCAGCTCAGGAAAAGTTGGTTAGAACCTCTACCAAAAAAAAAAAAAACTAACTAAAACTTGGGAAGTAGCTCAAGTATAATACTAGCAAGTGTGAAGTCTAAAATTCAGTCTTTAGTTCCATAAAAAGAGACTCTGAAAACCTCAATGAGCTTACATGTACAACAACCTTAGTTAAACCACTTATTTTAATAATTTGAGACAATCATTAGACAAGAAAACCTGTTCTGGGAAATAAAAATGGACTTACAAGGATGAACATAGGCATTAAAATAAGCATAAATGGGAAACAGAGAGACAAGTACCCAATAAGAAAAGGCCCAATGACAGAACTGAGTATTCATAATCATACCAGCAGTGGATCAACAGTAGTTGAGGCAGTGGGAGTAGAAATTAAGAAAAGCCTAAACAATAGTTTTCAACTTTTCTATCAATTTTGCTAGCCTAAGGCTACTACTTTGACACTGAAACTAAAGTCTTAGAAAGGCTTTTATTTAATAATATAATCTCTACCTTATTCAAAGATAGTCTATAAGAAACAGACTTATGAAATTAAATCAGCATGTTTGGTAAAGTTGGCCTTAAACCGTCCACTGAGCACAGTAGCTTACACCTATCTATAGTCTTGATACTCAGGAGGCAGAAATCAAGAAAAATCTCAGTTTGAAGCCAGCTGAACATGAGCCAGGCGCTGGTAGCTCACACCTGTAATCCTAGCTACTCAGGAGGCTGAGATCTGAGTATTGCAGTTCAAAGCCAGCCTGGGCAGGAAAGTCCACGAGACTCTTACCTCCAATTAACCACCAGAAAACTGGAAGTAGCACTGTAGCTCAAGTGGTAGAGTGCTAGTCTTGAGCTGAAGAGCTCAGGGACAGTGCCCAAGCCCAGAGTTCAAGCCTCATGACCAACCAAAATAAAATTTAAAAAAAAGCTGGACATGGTAGCATGCACATGTCATACCAGCCATGCAGAGAACACAAATAGGAGGACAACAGTCCAGGCCAGCCTAAGGCATACAGAAAGATCCCTTCTCAATCAATAGTTAAGCACAGTGACAAAAGCTTGTCATCCCAGCTTCATGGCAGTCTGAGATTAGGAAGACAGAGGTTCCAGGCAAGCTCAGGCAGAAAAATTCACAGGATTCAATCTCAATGGAAAGAAGCTGAGTGTGATGGTATATGCCTGTCATCCCCATGATGACAGAAAGTGTAAAATAGGTGTATGGTCCAAGCATGTACCTGGGCAGGAAGCAAAACTCATCTCAAAACTATCAGTGAAAAGAAGGACTGGAGGCATGGCTCTGTGATAGAACAATAGAACACCTGTCTTGCAAACTTTGCCCTGATTTTAAATCCCACTACTGACCAAAAAAAAAAAGTTTTTTTTTAATTAACAGATAAAGGGAAAGCATTGCTTACAGCTGAGTGTCAATTAATAAATGCAGAAGGAATGATGAACAGAGGAAAATCACCATTTCAATCAATGTAAAAATGACTTATCGCTGGGCACCGGTGGCTCACGCCTGTAATCCTAGCTACTCAGGAGGCTGAGATCTGAGGATCACGGTTCAAAGCCAGCCCAGGCAAGAAAGTCCGTGAGACTCTTACCTCCAAAAAACCAGTAGAAAACCAGAAGTGCCACTGTGGCTCAAGCAGTAGAGCACTCGCCTTGAGCTGAAGAGCTGAAGGACAAGGCCCAGGCCCAGGCCTAGAGTTCCAGCCCCATGACCGACAAAAATAATAATAATACTTGATTTGAACAAGAATAAAAAGTGAACCTCTAAGTGGAACATTAGGGGCTCATGCTTGTAATCCCAGCTACTCAGGAGGTTGAGATCTATGGATGAACCTTCAAAGCCAGCTCAGATAGGAAAATCTGTGAGACACATTATCTCCAATTAACCATCAAAAAAACTGGAAATGCTGCTATGGCTCAAAGTGGTAGAGCACTAACCAGCCTTGAGCACAACAGCTAGGACCAGTGCCCATGCCCTGAGTTCAAGACCCAGGACTAGCACACAAAAAAAAGTTACACAGCGAGGTGCTAGTAGCTTACTTTATAATCTTAGCTACTCAGGAATGTGAGATCTGAGGATCTTGGTTTGAAACCAACCCAGGCAGACAAATCCAAGAGACTCTTATCTCCAAATAACCAGCAAAAAGCCAGAAGTGGAGACCTGGTTCTAATGTAAAGCACCAACTGTGAGAGCAAGTTCAAACCCCAGTACTAGAATTTTACAAAAATATTGTGGACTGGGAATTTGGCTTAGTGGTAGAATACTTGCCTAGCATGCATGAAGCTCTAGGTTCAATTCCTTAGTACCACATAAACAGAAAAAGCTGGAAGTGGTGCTGTGCCTCAAGTGGTAGAATGCTAGCCTTGAGCAAAAGAAACTCAGGGATAGTGCCCAGGCCCTGAGTTTAAACCTGAGGACTGGCAAAACAAAACAAAAAAATGTTGTAACTAATAGGTGAAAGTCTGAAGAACAGAGTATATCAACTCAAAGTTTCTCCCCACAAAGTACTCATTTTTATGGAGGGACAGATGTTAATTTTATAGTAGTAGAGAAACATGGCAGATGTTATTAACACATCAAGCACCGCCTGAAGTTACACACAGCAAAGGCTTGGCACGTGGCATTTCTGATGAAAATGAATAATCTGAATCTAATCTCAAGGAAGCAGCAAACATGAGGGTTAATGTATAAAACACATGGCTTATACTTTAAACAGTGTGAAGGTCACTGAAGACAAAGGCTAAGGAAATGCCCAAGACTAAGGGGAATAAACAGAAAAATGGACAGCCTAATCTTGAAGTGGATAAATGATAACAAGAAACTACTGAAAAACAACTAGTGATTCTGAGAGACCTGAATAGATTTTGGAATGTTTGAAAAGTTCCCTTGGGGAATCTGAGTCACATAGATTCCACTGTGGTCCCAGATGCTGTTCTTAATCCAAAATCCATGGCCACAAAAAGCCATTTTCCACCTCTCTCAAATCCTTTGTTTCTATTCTATCCTTCTATGTCAAAAAAGTTTATATTAAATCTCCTGAACTTGACAGTTGTACTGTGGTAATGTAAGAGTAATGCCCCTATTCTTAGGAAATAAACACTAAATCATATAAGAGTAAAGAGGCATGTTTCTATTAATTACTTTCAAAGAGTTCTTAAGAGAAACAAATATCTATGTGACAGAAAGTTAAAAGAGTGTATAGCAGGCAAAAATATGTAACTCTTCATTTCTTCAAATTTTTTCCATGAAAATCATTTTTTAAGTGAGCAGGAAAATTGGATGGCAGATATAGGTTTGGTCTTTGATCAGTTCTTGGGTGGCAGTTAGAAATATGAATCCAAGTGTACTCTGTCTACATGCGTTTTCTTGGTAGTTTCTGAAACTAGACTTCCAGAGAAGACAGCTTCACAGAGGAAGAAAAAAACAAACAAACAATGCTTTTAGAGGAAGACTCCTACCTCTAATTCTAAAATGTTCTGATCTAAGGGGACCTGAACACACTTTTGGAAATGGGCCTGTGGACTCTTACTATCTACCTAAAGTCACAGATTTTCTTTCTGTTCAGATGCTGTTCTTAGTCTGAAGTCTATAGTTATGAAAAGCTATTTCTCATGTATACCACCTCCTTAGTTTCCACCCTTCCATATTAAAAGAATTTTCCACAACATTGGGAGACAGTCACAAAACACCTAGGAAGCCAAATGTGTTTCTTAAAGGTTTCTAGAATTTTCTCCATTTAAACCTTCCATACTTATACATTTTCTTAAGGAAAGCCATGTATTAGCTCCTGGCAGTTTCATTCAAACGTCAGTATCATATACAAAAAGTTCCTCCAATTACTATTAAGTTTTCAAATAACTCCCTATTTTCAATATTAGTAAGAAATCCCTTATATTTGCTTTACTTTGAGTCATTTCAGTTTCTTTGGGGATCATACTAGGAAACTTAGGGACTCTCTTAACAGGAAGCACCTGGTTCTGCTTAGTTTTGTTATTATAGACAAAATGTTTTTAATTCTAAAAATTTATACATCCAGATTACAAAACTAAAGTACAAATCATGTTTTGTGAATCTAAGGTTCAAAAACATAAAAATTCACCAGATGTGGTGGTACATGCCTGTAATCCCAGCTACTGGGGAGGCTTACTTAGGTTGATTGTGGTTGGAGATTGGACCCTAGTCAAAAACCTAAGACTCTACCAAAAATTAACTGAAAGTTAAAAAAAAAAAAAAAAGGAGCTGTAGATGCGGCTCAAGTGGAAGAGACTCTGCCTAGCATATACAAGTGCCGTACTGTAAAGGAAAAAAAGTCCAA